AATGCAAATCCATGTTACTTTGCCGTGCCCTGCTCGATTTTTCATGCTCGCTAGGCATGACATGTTTCGTAGAGCTTTTTGTTGCCGATCGGTCCATAATCGATCGTCGCCATGGCAGGATCTTGTACAAGGACTCCGGCATTAAATTCTGCAGTCGACAATAACCTTGACCCTATTCACGTGTGTATACCTGCAGGATCAACCATGGCAGATCCTCGACCTCGAGGGCAGGCTCTCCATCTTCGAGGTGCTGTAGGCACTGCTTCTTTTGGCAATATCATACAATATATATATATATATACACAAATAATAATCTTCTATATAATAAGATGCACTTTAAATTCTGCATCGCAGGAGGGTACATACTCTCCTTGACGACGTTAACAGCGAGGGCCATCGTGCTCTCCTTCTGCAAGGACCATTCGAGAGTAATGGATCGCGGTCAAGGTAGCTGCATGCATGCTATCACGCAGGCTGCAGCTCCTCACCCATGTTTTCGCAGCCTTCTTGCTTAAGGGACGAAAAGCATCCTGCAAGATCGCAATCGCTTGATCATGGGTGCTCACCAGTCGGTGGCCCGCGAGTTCTTGGAGGGCGCCAATCCGGATGGTCCTCGTGAGGATGACCAGGAGCTCGGCGATCTCCCGACGCCGGAGTTCCCACCGACGCCACCGCCATTGCCGCCACCGACGGCACCGCCGGCACCAACCACAGAAGAGCCGACTCCATACGGGTCATACGTTCGCAGATGCACTGTTTGTGGGGAGCTCGCCTACTTTCGCGAACGGATTTGTCTCAATGTCCGATGCCGGGCCACTTGGATGAGTTTAACATTGTTTTATATAACCCCAAAACCCTAAACCCGAACCCTTATGAACCCCTAAACCTCCAACCCTAAACCCTGGCAGTTGTCCTTCATGGGTGTGCCGGACCTGAACGTGGCCAAGAACTGGGCCGGCCAGCCGCCTTCAAATCCCAAGAAAGCGGCCGAGTACATGGAGTACTATCGCCTGCACCCAAAGAAGAAGAAGAACAGGGGATTAAAGAGGAAGGCATGGTGGGCAGAACATTGCAAGCGAACCAAATCCTCCTGGAACGCATGGGGCTATCGCAATCGTGGCGAGGAACCCGACGAAGAGGAGGAGGACGAGGAGGACCCGGTTTTGTGCACGGCGATCTGCCTGTGGAAGCCGCCTCCTGGAGATGACGATGATGAGGATGGCGGTGATCGTGCAGGCCCGTCCGGCAGTGCAGACGTGCAGCCGATCGTTGTGTCCTAGATCGAGAAGATCCACGGGCCGGGCAGTATGAAAAAAAGATGGATCGATTGTGCATGCAAGGCATGCCATTCGATCTATATAGTGTCTGCATTGCATGATCTCGGTGTGAAACTCCTTGCATGCAGGACCTCGATCGTACCGTGGGCTCCATCGCGATCGAGTCGATCGATCGTTCTCGCGAATGCAGGCCTGTACCCCTTAAACCTTCAACCCCTAAACCCTCGTTCTGCTTGCAGGCTGGCCATCAAGATCGAGTCGATCGTCGTTCTCGCGAATGCATGCAGGCCTGTACCCCTTAAACCTTCAACCCCTAAACCCTGCTTGTGCTTGCAGGCTGGCCATCAAGATCGAGTCGATCGTGGTTCTCCCGAATGCAGGCCTGTACTAATTAAACCTTCAACCCCTAAACCCTCGTTCTGCTTGCAGGCTGGGCTTCAGGATCGATGTCAAGTACTTCTGCAAGGCCTGGGTCCAAACCACGTGCAAACTTGAAGTGCTCTGGATGTGCTTTTGTTCAGGATATCGACGTGGAGATCACGATCCTCAAGGCTTGCAGTGCATGTGCCTCGAGCTGACAGCTCACATTTTGTCGCGAGGATCGAGGACTTGTTTCCTGCATGTGCTTTGTCTAGGTACTTCTGGAGGTTTTCGGTAGCCTCCACAAGAGATCGAGTGATATGAGTTCAACGACTCACAACATATTATTTTACAACCTGGCTCCAATTGTGTAACGGCGATTAATTTTGTTTTTCAGTTCATGTTCTTCAGGAGCCCACCCGGGCTCCTCACGCGATCGAGGAGGGTTGCACGTGTGGCTCTCCTTTGTCGTGGACCGGCCTCGATGCTAGCTGCTAGCTTTCCTAGGATCGAGACCGCCAATATTAACACATATCTATATATATATATATATATAGATATGTGTGTGTACATGTGCACGTATGCATGTATATGTAGATTGCATCATGATGTACAAATATATCTATCTATCTATCTATCTATCTATCTATCTATCTATCTATATATATATATATATATTGTCTATATATATACACTATAGATATATGTTAAAATTGTCATGTACATGTGCATGTGTAGACATTATAATATATGTGTTTACATTGCTTAAGATATGATTGTATGTAATATATATATATATACATATAAATATATATAGATCGATATGTGTGTATGTATGTATGTATGTATGCATATGTATGTATGTGTGATATATGTATACGTATATGTATATGTATATGTATGATTCTGATCGAGTTTGTAAAGATAAAAAATACATGCATAGACACATGGATGCTATAAGCATATATGATGTATGTCTATATATATATGTATATATAATGCCTGTGTATATATTGTGTATGTGCTAGGTATATGTGCATACAGAGATTACACATGACATGTACATGTACATGTGTATACACTATATAATTTAGGTGAATTACTTTAGGTTATCATGATTGTATGTAAGGTATGTATATGTTAATTATGTATATGTCTCTATGTATGTATATATGTATGTATGTGTATAATCATAATCAACTATGAGTTTGTATATATGAATTAATTATACACACATCTATGCTAGAAGCATATGTAAGTGTATATGTGTATATATATGTATATAGATATATAGTATAACTATACATAAGACATATGTATGTCTATCTCTATATATATATATATATATAATGTCAAAATATGTATTATATATGTATATACCCATAAAACCTTAAACCCTGGACCCAGCCTGGCCCAAACCCTGAAATCTAAACCTTAAACCCTATACCCCTGAACCCCTAAAGGGCTATAAAAACTGTTAATGGAATATGTAGAGTGCATTAATATTCGTTTTTACCAGCCTCCTCGAAAGTATAGGAGGCTGTTAGAAAAAATATAAAGTTAAATTGGAGTTAAATTTAACTCCAATTTAACTCGGATTTAACTTAACTTAAAACATTGTACGCAATCAAAACCAACAAGTTAAATTAAAGTTAAATTGGAGTTAAATTTAACTTCAATTTAACTTTTGGTCTTTCTTGGCTTGTTGTATATAGATTCGAACCATGCACACCTAAAGATCGACCCCAAACTTTTGTCCACCGATATTGCATCCTGCTTTCGTGGTGCAGTTTGCTCGAGCGATATATATCGATCGCACCAGTCGATTTCAAGGCTCCCGTTTTCTCTTCTTGTTGCCACAATGTTCCTTTCGTGGCTGGCAACTTGCTTCCCATGCCTGGCGATTGCATTCATGCCGCCTAAGAAAGCTACGGCAACAAAGGCGTCTCCGAAAGCAGCCAAGGCCAAGGCTAAGGCGAAGGCGAAGGCCGTTCCGCAGATGCCAGTGAAAACTGAGCCGGCAGAGCAGGCCCCGCTGGATGGTGTGGATCCAGCCGAGGTCAAGAAGATGCAGAGCAATTTGTCAACCCAGGGGAAAGCGAACTTGAAAAAACTCAAGGAGTACAAGGAGGGCAAACTCTCCTTATCACCGAAAGAGCTTGAGACCTTGGAATCCAAGGTTCAGTTTTACAACGAGTACGGGAATCTCGGCCGGAACCAGCACCACGAGAGAATGATGATGCTGGCCAGCTGGAACCAGGATAAATCCGGAAAGGCTTGGGCACAGAAGACGAAGACCTTCGAGACACAGACGAAGACCACAGAGGGGACCCTGGCCGGGTTCATGACCCGCACCTTTTCTGCATTGCTATGCAGGCATGCATGTAGAAATCGATACTAGATATATATAGTATATGTATATACATGCATATATATATCTATAGGATCCTAGGAGTCGATCATGCATGCACTCGATCGTAACCTTGGTCTGCATGCCTCCTTTTGAACACATGAAGTTCAGGATTCGAGATCGCTCAGCATGAAAACATGGATGTGGACGACAAGCTGCTGCTTGCGATTTTGAACGAGACCCCCTTCGACTACGACTGGGACGAGTCCTCAGCGAGGGAGAGGGCATTGAAAAAACAGAAAGAGAAGCGATATCACTATGGCAAGAGGAAGCATGCCGAGACAGACTCCGTGACTTTGGAGACGGACGCCATGCATGCCGGTTTCGACTGCAATGACAAAGAGAAGCAGAACATGCTCCTCAACGAGGCCTCGGGATCCGGAGGGAACCCCACCGTCACAGTCGTGAACCCCGAGCTGGTGGAGTTCAAGGGTCAGCTCGGCATTTTGCAATCTGGCAAGATCAAGCTGGAAAAAATCGAGACGCAGCTGAAGGACTTGTCCGCCAGGGGAGCACATGCCGGTGTTACCGGGACCACGGCCACGGAGATGGACAACGCACTCAAAGAGCTGGACACTTGGCTCAAGGATGCTCGCCTCGCTTTGGCCACCCTTGACTCGATCCAGGCCCCGAGTGCTGACAATAAGGCCCAGGTCGCTGAGATGATTGCTGAAGCAGTCGTCCACCAGGATGCTGCTGGCAAGATTCTAAAGAAGGCTAAGGCCATTCTGTCCTGATCGAGCAAATCCCGGGCCAGGCCGAGGAGGATCGATGATCCTCCTGTGCCCGAATTGCATGGTTTTTGCAAGGAGCCTCAAAACAGCTTCTCGACTGCCAGTCTTTTTGTGGCTTGCCTGTGCTTTGCATGGATCGTTGCAATTGTTTTGCACATCTGCAGGTGTATGTATAGCTATAGCTATACGGCTCGAGGCGGTTCGAGCTAGCTGTTTGCCATGAATTCCAACAAGAGGGCTCAGATAGACTTGAGCAATGTGGAGCCCCCAAGAAGATTAGCAAGAAGGTTGGGAAATTTGTTCCTGACCAATGCAGTTCCTGCTGCAGAGGCTGGCCGTTTGTTTCGGGATGCCGAAGCCAGTGGCAGTGCACACATGGATCGCCTTGCAACACTGGGCTCCCGGAGGGCGGACGATCTAGCTCGACACAGGGATGTCTTGCGAAAGATGAATCGGAATCGCCACTGGCCTGGTCAGTATATTGTGCAAGCACCCTTGTGGAACCACAAGGAGCAGAAAGAGGAACAGGGAGACATCGTCATGTGGCTCCCTCATGAGATCCTCTATTGCTTAGACGCCAAAGCAAGGAATCCTTCCAATCTCCGGAAACTGGAGGTTTTGCAAGAGCAGGAACGACAGTTCCTGGATGTCGCTGCCTCCTCGCTTCAGGTAGGCAGCGAGGACCTCATGCTTGTCGGCATTTGGGGGG